GCCCCCCACGCAGACCCTCCCGCAGAGCTCCGTGCGGGATCTGTCTCCTTGACTTCCCACATGCGGGGCTCTGCATGGGTCAGCAGGGACCCAGAGGCCACAAAAGTGGGTCGGAGAGCACATTGTCCCCGCACGCCGTCGGCCGCAGCCACCAACTGGCAGCCGGCGACAGTAGCAGATGTCGGAGGACAAAGGCAGGCCGTCCCCACTGCCCGCGATTGACCGCCTTTGTCAGCTGAGGCCTCGCGCCCCGCCCCCGCCTTGTCCTGCCCTGCCACACCAGCCTGGCGGGCGCAGGGGTGGGGTCTGCAGTCCCACTTGCACTCTCTCGTTTATTGTGTTTGGTATTCCAAAAGTCCGTTGCTTTGAAGTCTCTCCATGAAATGCCCAAGATGGGATCCCAGAGTCTGCACCGCCAGGACCCCCGAGTCGAGGGAGAGCAATCCCAGCCCCTCTGGAGGGTTCTAGCCAGACAGCTTGCCGGGAGCCAATTAGGGTAGTGGGACACTTCTGCCGGCAGGGTCCCCGCTGGAGTCCCACTGCCTCCTGCGCCAGTCTCCTCAAAGGGCTGCAGGGCTGAGCCTGTCGCCCCTGGACAGCCCTGGGCCTCGTGAGAGCAGGACACGGAACCAGACGGGCAAATGAAAACCCGCATGCCCGGCCCTGCCCCGCTCCACACACTGTTGCACAGAGGGACAGGCGAGGGGTCCTCAGCACTGTGAGGCTTAGTGGTGGCCGTGCGGCGGCCCTGGCCACATCCCAGGCAACTTTCACAACTGCAGGGAATGGGCTGAGCCCCTGCAGGCGTGGCGGGGCAGTCAGAGGACCCGGCAGGCCACGGACAGGGCCCTGCGGGGCTCTGGGAAGGCCCCAGAGTGAGCAGCGCTTCTGTGAGGGAGAGGAGGAAGAGGCGGGGTCTGGGAGGCTGGCACTAGGTCACGCAGGTGTCTACGCGGGTGTCCTCACGGCTGTCCCCACAGCTCCTTTCAGGGCCTGGAACCCATACGTTGAGCCCCAAACACCATCAGAGCCCAGCCGCATCCTTTCCTCCTCCTCAACAGAGGCCGGCCATGCCCAGGCCTCCCTAGAGGCCTGCCTTATCAGCACAGGATGACCAGGTTACCGGGCGGGAAGGTGTCTGGCTGTCGACGCTGAGTCTGAGAGCAGGCGTGTGGGGAGAGATGTGCCTGGTGTCCCTGGCTTCCCCACGGCCTGGCCTGGCCCCAGGCGTGGAGCCCCGCGTCCCTTGAGAGAGCCTACAGGGACCAGGAGTGGGTCTGGCCACCTCCTGAGCCAGGAGCACGTGCTGCTGACTGGGCCTGCCCTGCTTGTGGCCGGGCCCTTCCCTCCCCGGCCTCCTCGGTCTTCTCCCACTCGCTGCCTCTGCTCCTTCTCCGGGCCGGGACGCCAGGTGCCCACAGGAGGGTACGGCCAGTGTGTCATGCTCTCTGAGGGCATGCCAGAGAGAGCATGTTCCCTCCCCGCAGGCGAGCAGCCTTGGGAGAGGGGCTCATTGTAGACAGGGGCCCACTCCCTGCAGTGGTGTGTGTGTGTGCATGTGTGTCCATAAATGGGAGTGCACATACATGTGTGCACACTGAGTGTGTGCATGTGTGTGAGTGCACTGTGTGCATGTGTACACGTGTGCATATGTGAATGCATGAGTGTGTGTGAGCACACAGGCATGTGTGTGCGGGTATGCGCGTGTGTGCACGTGTGCATGTGAGTGCCTGCATGTGTGTGAGTGCACTGCGTGTATGTACATTGAGTGTGTGCATTCATGTACATGAGTGCACTGCATGTGTGTACGTTGAGTATGTGGGGAGGGTGCGTGTGTGTACATGCATGTGTGTGAATGCACTGTGTATGTGTGCATGTGTGTGTGCACACTGCCTCCACCTGCTGAGAGCAAAGCTGGCCCAGGAAGCGGAGCGAAGCCTGAGCGTGGACTTGGGTCGGGGGAACAGGGCGTAGGGTCCCCTGACCCTGTCGTGGGCTAACAGTGTCTTGTGGGGGGCTGCAGAGACTTGTGTGCCCGTAGGAGTGGAGCCAGGCCCCCTGGGCGACAGCCCTCCTCCCCACGGCCCCTGCTGTTAGGGCAGAGCATGAGGAAGTGACCCGTGAGTATATGCACATGTACAAGGCACTCCAGGCGCGGTCTGCCCGGCGTACCCACTGCCCGCGAGGCTACCCGCCAACCCCAGGAACACTGTTTCCCTACGCACAGCTGCTGCTTCTCTTTAGACACGCAAGGAAAACGTTCAAGCAGGCTCTAAAGAAACCACAGAAAAGCCCAGCGTGGGAGACGGAGGCAACTACCCTCCCGGGTGCTGTCTCGGGGGGGCAGAGCCAGGGCCCAAGTCCCACGTTGCCTCCTCTGCCCACTGGACCCCGCCTTGGTCTCCCCTCCTGTCGGGATGAGTCCCTGGCTGTTTTGCCCTGGCCCCTGCCTGCCTCTCCTCCCCCGGCCTGGCGGCCCTCCCTGAGCTCTGGGACTGCAGCCCTCCAGGGTCCCCAGCCACCCCGGGCGAGGCCAGGACCCTCGTCCTTCACAGAGGCTGCACCTCCACCCCATTCTGTCTGTTCCTCTCTCCTTGCCTGTCTGTGAGGCCGGGGGCTCGTCCTGTCCATCCGTGTAAATGTAAATGTCGGCCGAGTCGGTATTTATTCTAATTTTATTTTATTTTATGTTCTCTGAGGGATGGGGTGGGGGTACGGGAACCAGACTGCAGATCGGGCCTGCGCGGCCTTCGGGGCGGGAGCCGGACTGCCAGGCTGCACCGTAGCTGCCCGGACGTGGCCCCCGGGAGGCCGAGGCCCGGCAGGTGTCTGGCATCCAACGCACCTGCACTCCTCTTGCGACAGACCCGGGCCTGCCCACGCGGGTGGCCTGTGGCAGCCCAGGGACTCTGGGGAGACCTCCGGCTGGGCCCTTGAGGACGCGCATCCCAAGAAAGATAGCTCTTCGGTGCTCAGACACATGCGCGGAAGGGCCCGGGCGCCCCACCAGCCAGCAGGCGGCGATGGGACCCGCCTCCCTGGGCAAGGCTCAGGCTTCCCGCCACGGCTGCTGCAGAATCCTGCTGGCGACCACTCCCCGCCCCCTGTCGGAATGTCCTGCTTTCCAGCTGAACCCAGACACCTCGGGGGGTTTAAAAAATAAACACCAAAACCCGAGTGCCCCGTCTGCGTGCTCTGCGTCTCCCAGGCTCGTGGCTTGGTGGGTGCCCGCAGGCCCAGGACCCTGCTTGGAAGAGGAGCGGATGGCACCTCCCGGTCCTGCCACGGCGGGTGAGTGTGGGCTCTGGGGCCTAAAGGTGGCCGAGGAGCTGGCCCCGGAAAGCAGGGGTGGAGGAGCCGGGGCTGAGCCCCTAGACAGAACTGGTGGGTGGGGACTCTGGCCTCCAGTTCCCAAGGGCACTCGCGCCTGGGCCCCTGGCCCCAGTGCTTGGCATGCAGGCCTGCGCCTCCCGCCCAACATCCCCAGGTCTGAGGGGTCTCCACCCCGCCAGCCTCCCTGTCCCTGGGCACCCACCCAAGCATCCGGTCTGTGGGTGTGACAGGTGACATCTCATGCTGTGGCCGGGACCCTATAGCTGGCCAGAAGCAGGGATGGCTCCCGGGACACAGCCAGTCTGCTGGAGAGCACGTCCCCTGGGCCAGGTGCTTCTAGTGAACCTTCTTTGGGTCCCGCATATGCTGGGCTGTAGGAAAACAAGAAAGCGGAGGGGCCTAGACCACTCGATCACTTGGATGTGATCACCCTTCAGAGGTTGGAATTCCAGCAGCTACAAGCGCCGTGGGCCTGGCCCAGCCTCTGGTGAGTCCTGGTGCAGGGCCCTGCCTGGAGCATCATGATGGCAGAGAAAGCCGACACATACCTGGGGCCCTCCAGTGGGGACAGGCAGGCTGGCCAAGCCTCGCCTTCCAACTCCAGGGGAAAGACCCCACCCCCACCCAGGGCTCACCAAGTGAGACCCAGACGTCCACCAAGGTGAGAGGCAGAGAAACTCCACGGGGACCCAAAAACCAACACACTCGGTTGCATTCCCCCAAATAACAGAGCGTCGCTGAGGCCACCGGCCTTGTGGTCCACAGGGCACAGAACCTCCCGGCTCTGCACACTCTCAACACTGCCCATTTCAGTGCCCTGTGGAGAGCTCTGCCCTGACAACCAAGAGCATGTATGTTGGCCAAGGACTCACTGTGGCCCGCGCATGGCGGGGACGTCAGCACTAGTGGGACCGCCCCATGCCAGGAGGAAGGGAGGCCTCTCCCGGGAAGCCAGCCCCCCTTGCCAGCTCTGCTCAGCAGATGCTGTATGCCCCCCTCTTTCCCGTCCCTGACACCAGGCCCTGCCTGGCACACACAAGGCTCCGGGACACACGGGCAGCTCAAGGGGAAAGAAGATGGGTGGAAAGACGCTCCCAACCACTCACAGGATCCAAGCCACTCTGGGTGCCGGCTGGGCTGAGCCAGGGCACAGAGCATGGAGCAGGAGGAGGGACAGGAGCTCCCAGCTGTGTGACGGGGGAGGGTGGTGGTCCCTGTGGGCTGCTCAGGGCCATGTGACCCGGGCTCGGCAAGCCAGCAGTCTCAGGGCTGCAACTCAGACGCTTGCTGTCTGGCCTGGGTCTGCACGTAGGACGGTAGTGGAGAGTCCCGACTGGCTCGGCCCACCCTGCCTCCCTGCAGGTGGTTACGAGCCCGCAGGTCACACTCGCCAGCCAGATGCCTCAGTTT